TAATGGTTCCAATCTCAACAGTGACTTGATGAAGGCCATGTGTGAAACATTCAAAATCAAACACAAGAATTCAACAGCCTACGGACCTCATATGAATGGAGCCGTAGAAGCGGCCAACAAGAACATTAAGAAGATACTAAGGAAAATGATAGAAAAGCACAAGCAGTGGCATGAGAAGCTATCATTCGCTTTATTGGGATACCGTACCACAGTTCGCACATCAAACGGAGCAACTCCATATATGTTGTTTATGGTACAGAGGCAGTCATTCCCGCCGAGGTAGAAATTCCCTCCCTGAGGATTATACAAGAAGCAAAACTTGACGATGCAGAATGGGTAAAAAGCCGCTACGAGCAACTAGCTCTAATCGATGGGAAGAGAATGAATGCAGTTTGTCATGGTCAATTGTATCAGAACAGAATGTCCAGAGCCTTCAACAAAAGAGTCAAACCAAGACGATTTACACCAGGACAGCTGGTATTGAAGAAAATCTTTCCACATCAAGATGAAGCCAAAAGGGAAATTCTCTCCCAACTGGCAAGGGCCATACATGGTTCACCGGGTTCTAACCGGAGGAGCCCTCATACTTGCAAAAATGGACGGAGAAGTTTGGCCGAAGCCAATCAATTCAGATGCAATCAAGCGATACTATGTGTAGCACTTATGATATAATTTAAACTACGTCTGACCTGATTCCCGTTTAAGACGGGATACGTAGGCAGCCTTATGGGTTCGGTCACAATTCAATAAAAATTTTCATTTCCCCTGATATTGGAAACTGGGGCAGAATTTTGAGGAGGACCCTCAAAATTCCAAAGTTGTTCAGCCATTCATCGCACACAGCCGTCGGAAGCACCAGACCAGTAAACTGGGGCAGAATTTTGAGGAGGACCCTCAAAATTCCGAAAGGAGAGGTTGCAATGTCTTGAACCACGTCGCAGTCGTCGGTTTATCTAAAAGAAAATCATTTTAAATTATGTAGTTACATCATATTCTTTACTAAATCATGCATGAGTATTATCTGAATTGCTTTGTTTAGCAATGCTACCCCAATGATACACAGCGCCAAGCAGGACAAGCAAAGTCCACGGGGAGACGAACTAACCTTCCCCCTTTACAAAACTCACGATTTTTCTTTGAATGCAGGCACCCCAAGACATAAAATCATCAGATACGATTACATACTCATATTTTGCAGGGATACAACTCTTAGAATCATCGCTTACTTACAAGTGCTATCGGCACACGACATCCCCAACAGCCATAATGACGCAATCAGCTATCATCTATCAGCTAAGAAATTTCGTTGCTCTTCACCTTTATTTGTTGCATTGCATAAGGCTAATATTCTGCCTTCCGAGATTAAGCTCTACCTCCATCTGCGTTTCTCGAATTGCATAAGGCTACTATTCTGCCTTTCGAGGTTAAGCTCTACCTCCGTCTGCATTTCTCGCATTGCATAAGGCTACCATTCTGCCTTCCGAGGTTAAGCTCTACCTCCATCTGCATTTCTCGCATTGCATAAGGCTACTATTCTGCCTTCCGAGGTTAAGCTCTACCTCCATCTGCATTTCTCCGCATTGCATAAGGCTACTATTCTACCTTCCGAGGTTAAGCTCTACCTCCATCTGCATTTCTCTGCATTGCATAAGGCTACCATTCTGCCTTCCGAGGTTAAGCTCTACCTCCATCTGCATGGCTGAAAGATCGCCAACCGTTATTTACACCTTACATCGGCTGAAATATCGCCATTTACATTCACACTTTGCATCGGCTGAAATATCGCCATTTATATTTACACTTTACATCGGCTGAAATATCGCCATTTACATACACACTTTGCATCGGCTGAAATATCGCCATTTATATTCACACTTTGCATCGGCCGAAATATCGCCATTTATATTCACACTTTACATCGGCTGAAATATCGCCATCTGTATTTACGCCTTACATCGGCTGAAATATCGCCACTCGTATTTACATTTTTTCACGGTTGAAATATCGCCACTTCATTTAAGTCTTGCATCGGCTGAAAGATCGCCAAATTGTCCGAAGGCGTCATTGTTCAAAGGCACCATTTTCATAGCTCGAGAACGTCATGCCATGGCCTGAGGACCCCTGCTTTATCTTTTGCATATCATTATTCAAAGGCATCATGGTTCGGAGGCACCATTCTCATTGCCCGAGAACATCATTCCATAGCCTGCGAATCCTTATTATACGCTTCATGGCCAGGGACGTCATGGTCTGAGGACGTCATCCTACCCGTCTAAAGACAGCATTCATGGTCCAATGGGAACTTGCATCACGTTTAAATTTATGCACGATATGTTCGCATTGCTTATTCGCAGGTACACTGGCTAGCAACGACCATCATAGCAGGAACGATCTCGCTCCGGTTCCTGAAGCCCATCGGTCCCTGACCATCCTTCTCAACCTGAACATCACATCCGTCCTTTTCCAAACCTCCATTGGCATATTCTGCCAATGGATCCCCGAACTACATATGGCCTGATTCCTGTAAGACCAGGGATATGTAGGCAGCTCAGGAGCCAGAGCTCGGTCTAAACCTTTCAAATCGTTTCTTTCGGTCAAAATTGGCCATCATATCTTTACCCGACAACTCTTTCATCCTTCTCGGGCAAAGAGGAGCAGCTGTTGATACCCAAATTTTCCCTACATATTTTTTATACTCAAAATATTCTCAAACTAGCATGTACATGCATATATAAGCATGCCCAAGAGTTTTGATATTTTTCCTTTATTTTTTAAAGATTTTAAAATCAATTTATTGTCTATTTTAATACTACAAAATTCAATAATTATTCCCAAACTAGCATTTTTGGTGAATAATTTATTTCATTGTCATATTTACACTAAGATATAATTAAGTTAATTTTTGCATATTTTTATACATTTGTTTGGTATTTTTTAAGTTAAATTGCATATAATTGTAATTATAGCCTATTTTATAATTAACAACATTTTACAATTATAAAATCTTTTAGTATTTTTAGATTTATATTTATGCGTTGTTAATTAATCCAGTACCTTTTTTTTAAATCATTTTTTACTATTTTGTAAAATAATAAAAGGGGAAAATTGGCTATTTAACAAACAACCCTTTATTATTTCAATTCTAGCCAATTTGGCCACACCCCCTATCAGATGTTAAATGGCCCAATATCTCAATTAAATTAACCCAGCCCAATCCCTAATCCAACTCGGTCCAACCCCATTTTAATCTGAGCCGATGATCAAATGAGATCAACGGCCCATATTTATTTCCCTTAATTAAATTCAATTACCCCTCCCCCCCAGACCCCTCATTTCTACGGGACGGTCTCTCTCTCTCTCTCTCTCTCTCTCTCTCTCTCTATATATATATATTATATTACTAATTTTATTATAATATATATATATATATATATATATATATATATATATATCTCATCTCTTCCTCTCCCTTCTCTCTAGAACCTTCTGGTTCTTTCTTCTCTCCCGATGATTTCCACCGTCTCTCTGGTCACCTCCAATCTCACCCCTTTTACCACCAGCCGCATGAAATCCTAACTCACCGATTCCTCTATTTTGAGACCCCAGAAGCCCCATCATGCAAATCAGTCCCTCAAAGCTTCGCCTGGTTTGATTCCGGCCATCTCCGACCACCTCCTTTCAGCCCCAAGGCTCCGACGGGCCTCTCATCGTCTTGTTCAACATCTCTAGGACCTTCGAGGTTTATGGTCCATGTCGATTGAGACCTAGGGTTCCTGGTTCTGCTACCTATGAGTTCTCCGGTGTGATTTCAGGGGAAATCACAGCCTATATGTCACGATCTGTGAAGTCTCAACAGGTTTTCTCAACTCCTATTAGGGTTTCCCTTGTGAAACCCTAACTCTCTCTTGAATCTCTCAAAACGATGTTATTTTCATGCTATTTTTCATGTTTTCCTCTATGTTCTGCTTATTCTCGAGCTTCTTCTGAAAGTTCTCTACTTTTGAACCATTTTTACTCTCTTTGAAAAAAACTAGGGTTTCTTGATTTCTTTTTACACATGTTTCGACCAATTTTCTTTATGGTTAAAACCTTTTCCTTGTTTATTTTTGACCGATTTTTAGCTTGACTCTGCTAAAAACCCTAATTTCTAAAAAAATATTTTTCGTTTGATTATTGTGTGTAGCAAGATTTCCTTACTCTGAGTTATGTGTTAGCATGATTCTTTGCTTCGATTATGTGTGTTAGCCTAATTTTCTTTGCCTTGTCTCTATGTGTTAGCATGTTTCTTCGTTTGATTGTGTGGGTTAACCTGATTTTCCTTGCTTTGGTTCTGTCTGCTAGCTTATTTACTTGATTCTTGTTAATGTTTCGTGGTCACCATGCTTCGAATATGTCCTGCTGAATCTTAACCTGTTTTCACTATCTCTGAGTGGTTGTGTTTGTTCATCTCTTGTTCCCTTCTGTCTATATGGTTAGTTTTGTTTGCTACTCTTGTTCATTCACCTCTATTTATATGCTGAGAATGCATAATCATGACTTCGCATGATTGATTCTGATTTTCCTTGACTGATTGGTAATTTAAAAACTCTCTTTCAAAACCCTAGCATTCTGCTCGCCTGTTTAAATTAATTGATTTTTGTTACCTTATTTGCTATAGTACTCTATTCCACCTAGCCTTTCCTTAATTGGAATTTTCCTGAATTTGGTCTTAATTGGCTACTATATGCAATACTGAACCTTGACTCTTCCTTATTTAATCCTACACTGATTTTTCTACTTGCCTTATATGGTGCCGAATCTTTTCGTTTGATTTTGATTCCCTTAATTAATGGGAGTACTTCCTTGATTCTCTAATTAATTGATTCCGAGTTCTTAAATTAACATACTTCTGTGATTTTTTACCTTATTTTACCACCTACTCTCAACTATAAATACCCTAAGTCTTTCACACGAAACACACGACAGAAGTCTTCTTAACACACACACATCACGTAACACTCTCAATTCTGCATTCTCTTGTGCTCTTTCTCTAGCTTTTGCTCTGTTCTCTGCTCTTGCTTCTTATTAGCCGGCTGAAAGCCAAGGCTAATATAGTGTTACTACTTTGTCTTTGCATCCTGCTCTTGCCTTTTCATTGGTATGTCCTAACTAATTTTCAAGTCTCCAACCAATGTGTTTACTTTTATTTTAGTTCATTGTCTTTCTTATTTTCTTCTATTTATGCTTCTCCTGCTCAATGTGTAATTGATGCTTTGCTTTAATACTTCACCATGTCTTCTGATTTGCATGCTAATATGACTTTGTCTATCCCTAACTCTACCTTCTATGCCTATGTCCCATTGTTATGCCTTAGCATGCCTAGCCTTTGCTACTTCCCAGTTCCCCTGAATCCCCTGATTCTGTGTAGTCATGTTCATTAAACCTTTGTATCTCTTTTAGCATTGTGCGATCTATCTGTTCCCTTTACCCCACGATCCTTGTATGCAATCATGTACTGTTGAACTATTGTTTCTGCTGTTTTCTGCTGCATTTTTCTAAGTGTTTAGGTGCTGGTATTGGCCAGGGACCCAATGGGGCCCTAGGGAGCTTTGCCGCACCTAGACCATGGCAAATGCTGTAAACTCGAAGGGGTTGAGGTTGGAAGACTGGGCTTGATTGAAGGCTCCCTATAGAATAACTTCTTATCTTTTTCTGTTCTTTATTACTGTAGTTCAAATGATACTGGTTTGTAATAATTTGTAAACAAACGATTGGGGTTGAATAGTGAATATGGGGGAGGGTTATGCATACTTAGTATAAATGATGGGTAGAAAACATGCTTATAGGATTTTATTTATTTATCTGCGCAATAGACAACTTGCATAGGACATGCATCTCATTCATTAGAGATCTTGCTTTAGGTTTTTTACTTTCAGCCTGTCATTACGCTCATCTTGTAACCACGATCAGTTAATAACCAGCAAATAATTAATAACAAGCCCAATAATTTGTCATTACTGCATTGGCTTGTTTGAAACCATGTTTTAGGTACTTCAATGTGCATTAGATATCCTGCCCTTAGGACTTCTCACTCGTTCGAGTTGCAGTAGTCAATTCATGTTTGTCTAATAACTTTGTTAAAATATAGCTAAGTGGTTTGAAACGTTTTCTGCAAATAACTTATCTCGCGTACCTTTGTTTTTAAATCAGAATTAAAATATGCATGCCCATCCTTTAAATAATCAGACAATGTATAACAACGCCTAGGCCAAACTTTAGGCCCGATAATAACTACTCAATTGTGTTTCTATTAGCTTAAAACCAACCAAGTTCTTTCAATTTCAACTCTGCCGTTCCCATTCTTGTATTGATTCTCTGAAGTTCACTCTGCTTTCTTAAAAACTCTGCTTCATCTGGAAACGATTTTGAAATGATGCACCTATCTTACTCTTACTAAGTTTCTGATTTTCATCACTGGGTTACCCATCTGTGCCCAGAATCGTGCTATTACTGTTACTACTTCATTTTTAAAACCAAGTTTTAACTGCTGTAAAAGTTCCTATCTTTTGAGACCTTAATTGTGTTTAAGTCATGCTATTTATGTGTTTTGTTTGAGGAGGTATACATGAGCCCTTATATGTTACATGCTTCCCCCCAACATACAGTATGTGTTTTTGTATGTCGCCCTAGATTTTTGTCCTTTGAAACCAATTAGACTAATATCCCACCCTTTAGGACTAGTAGTCCTAAGTGCCTCCGGGACTGATAGGATGGGGCAGGTAATAGCATGCAATAAGTAAAACGAGACCATTCCGCGTTTAGTACCTTAACGGGGTGGGAAAGGGTATATATGGATATGATGACCATGCGAAAACACCGCGTGTATAAACGGTTACCGGGTGTTGTGTGGAGTGATCCATATTATGTATAAACCCAGGACCCATTCCCTTATTTGTCAATTTTATTTCCAGAATTTCAACTACTTCTTTTCGCAACTTCAGCCTTTTAAACTGTTTTTTAACTTGCAACAATTATGTGAAAATTTCCTCTTTTATTCAAGATTTTAAAACTGCTTCCTCTATCAAAATTCAGTTTCTTTAACTTCCTTAATCCCTTGCAACCATTATGTGAAACCGCCCCCCCCCCCCCTTGTGTTTGCAATTCTTGCTTGCCTACTTGTTGTTTGTATTTAAAGTCACAATATAACATGGCCGGGAACCACACTAGTGGATCTTGAGGGGTGCCTAACACCTTCCCCTCGAGATAGTTTCTAGCCCTTACCCGAACTCTGGTTTTCCAACTCAAAACCCTTAGTGTCCTAATGCACTTAATCATTAGGTGGCGACTCTTCAACTCCAAAAACCCAAACCCCAAAAGGGAATAGAGTTGTCCTCCCAAATGTCGTAAACCCGATTTCGCCTTAGAAAAATGGGGCGTCGAGAGACAAACACTACAAATAGAATTAAAACTAGAACTAGTACAAGGCAATTTATGTGTCCTAATAAATTGACGAAGAATTTGTTCATGAGGATGTCCTAGTCGAAGGTGCCAGCAAGATGGAGATGCCTTGATAGAGTAAAGAGCCGAGGGTGAAGTAGACTTGGAAGTAGAAGATGACCGGAGAGTATAGAGTCCCCAATCACTCTTGCTTGAAAGAAGTGATGTCTTAGAAGCCCGATCCTTCATAACAAAATGGTAGGGATGAAATGCAAAGAAAACATTATTATCACGAGCAAAACGTTGGACAGAGAGTAAACGTTTAGTGATAGCGGGAACATGAAGAATATTATTTAGACGAATGAGTCGAAAGGGGGAGGGAAGAATGGCATTACCAGTGTGATGAATAGGGATACCATTACCATTGCCAACATGAACTTGATCTGGTCCTTTATAATCCTCAATTTGGTAAAACAGGGTAAGATCAGGAGTGATGTGATGTGTCGCCCCAGTGTCAGGGAACCACTGCTGAGAAGGTGCGTTTGGAGTAGAATGCGATAGATAAGACGCTGGATTAGTCGCTTGGCTGTAACGTTAAAAGCAATTCGGAGCAATGTGGTTATGGCCATTGCAAATTTGGCACTTTTGTTGCTGGTCGTTGGACTGCCAAGTTTTACTATTGGTGGAATAATTTCTGGAATTAAAGCGACCACCTCTTCCACCACGACCTCGATTGGACCTTCCACGACCTCTGTTAGTATTTTTGTTGTATGAACGATCAGGTTGTGCATTCTTATGGGCCATGTTTGCTGAAAGATGTTAGACTGAGTCTGGTTGCTGCAGTGTAGAAATTGAGAGGTTGGAAAGTGACGAGCCATGATGAACTCATGGTTCAGAAGAAGACTATGCAATTCGGCAAAAGCAACTGGTTTAGGCCATGCCGATAAGTGTTTACCGTGAAAATGGTAACAACAATTAAATTTGTAAATGGGATTCTAAAAATACGTTATCTATTCCCGAGCTACCTTATAAGGGTGGTTAGTGCTAAAATGTTAAGTAAAACAACAAAGATCGAGTCAGTCAAAACGATATCCGAACCAGTAGGGGGACGTTCGCAGGCACAAAGCAAGCCGGTAGGTACCTCGGGGATAGGCCTCGAGCTTATCGAGGGTAGTCGGGAAGGGGATAACAGTTAAAGATATAAGTAAACAAAGCTTTATACTATCAATCTTGGACTAAATAATGAAGAACAAACGAAGAAACAATCAAGTGCTAAAGTGATCTCGAGATATATTTACTTGACGAACCAAGAGAATAGCTATGAATAGATATGACTTAGAACCGAGAGAGATTTAGAGAAAGGGAGAGAGAGAGGGAGGATATTATTGCTTTCTTCGTATCTTTTATAGAAAAAGGGGGCGTCCAAACTTAATATGGAATAAATAATACAATAAAAGAATGAGATGTGACAGCCTCCTTTTCTTAGGTTGTAGGAGAACCGACGTCGAGTCATTTGGAAAATTCTCGTGGACCCCGGATACATCCCTCGGGGGATATCTTCGCCCATTAGGGTCTTGGCCGATGCCCGATCTAGGCAAGGCATCGGTTAGATCTCGAGGGAGGTGATCGAACCGAGATCCCATGCCTTCGGGATTTGTTCTTCGAAGCATTATGTCGAGGGAAAATTGGTCTCCCAATTTCCCCGCACACAGATAGTCTCCGCATTTCTTATAAGGAAGTGATAAGAAATGTTTTTGACGCTCCTCCTCGTGGGTCCTCGACTTGCCATTATGCCGTTGGCTCAGCCTTCCTTCACCGAAGTCGAGGCATTTTTCCTTCCCGCTTCTTCCGAACTTTTTGAAATATTATGATCCCTCGCTCTTCGGGGCCGCATCGTTGTTGTCATTCCGTGCCGCCGTTTCATTTTCCACAAATGCATTAATTTCGCCTGTCGTTACGCTTTTCGAGGGAGATAATGGCGTCGTCGGTTACTTTGTTTTCCCTCTATATATATGGAGCTCCTTTGCGATCAGTTCTTCATTCAAAAACTCCCTTCGATACATGCCCTTCTAGCTTCCCCTGCCACTTTTCTAGCCTTTGTTGCTCTGCCATGTTTGAGGTCTATGGCCTTAAGATCCTATGTCAGATACGCCATGGGACAGCCCTCGATTTTCTCTGGTGGGACGGGCTTGTCCTGCTGTGATGCTGCTGTTGTTGTTGTTGTTATTGTTGTTGTTGTTGTCGTCTTGGTTTGGCGACGTAGGAGGTCGGTGTTCTTTGACCTGGAGAAAGATTCGGATTATCCACGCTGCTCAAGAGGGGGCTCAGATTATACACTGCTGCTCACCCTCCTTCCTCGGCCCGGCGTATTACACCCCCTTTGGATTTCGAGGGGTGTGGTGATGGGCTCAACTCGGCCGTTGCCTTCCGGGCCGAGGCGACATCTCGAGAAGTGGCTTCGGGGTAAGTATGCTGGCGGAGTCCGTGCTAGCCGAATTTTTTGCCCAGCCACTTCTCGCTTTCTTCTAGTATCCCCTCGTCATTTTGCTCTTCTCCCGGCTTCCTTTTAAAGATGCCATTTCTGGAGGATAGGGATGAGATCCCTGCCGGGGTTGAACTTGGAAGATTTTGTCTTTGAGGTCGTATGACTGGAAGGATGACTCCGGAGGCGCTATACGTAGGATGCTCCCCTTGGAGTCGTATGCTACCTCTATTTTCTCCCTTTTTTCTTTTTCTATAAAAAAAGCTTTTGTAATCATGTAAGATGCAATTGTATATAAGGATTTATATAAAAATAAAAATATATTTTTTCCTGGCTTCTGCTTTCAATCCTTGCTTTTTTCTGATATATCCTTATGCCTTTTGAAAGCCTCGGTTTGTTGTAAACCGCTGACATTTGCTTCGGATGGAAGCATTTTCCCGAACCCCCTGTTGGTCGGTGTGGCTTTCCCTGAGCCCGATAATCAAGCTTCCGACCGAGCTTAAGCCGACCTGATATATTCAGGCCGTCGGGTCCCTCATACTAAATGGAGATAATCGATGGTATCTCGGGTTCCTCGGGAGAGGCGTTGAGAGGTGATCATATCCTTAGGCACGTGAGGGTCCCTTTCTGGACCATAGATAGTTCTCTAGAACGTATGTGTTTGAATTTACTTCGGGGAGTCGCCCATAAGGGGGAATCACTTTGATTGGAGCTTTTGACCAATGTGAAACAACCTTGTTTCTTCGTCGTACGACACAGGTTCTTTTTTATCCCATGGATTGGTGCTATAAAAGTCTCCTGAGTTATGCTGACTTTCGAGGCCTCTTGGGGTACTGCCATGGATGTAGGTCATCTTTGGGTAGCTCGGTGCCCTTACTGATCCGGACGTAGATGATCCTTTCAGACCGCCTGGGATAGACTTCTGCTTCCTTCTTGGTGTTTGCTTGCTCTTTCGCACTTCGGGATTTATCGAATGCCTTCCTCTGTTTGTGGGCCGTCGTAGTCTGCCATGGTAGCTTGTTTTGGTCCCCAGCTAATTGGCAAGGTTCTTCCCTGATCTTTTTGTCGTACTTCGGATTGGTGGAGGGCCGACTAGAGCTCGAGATATCCGATCATGCCTGCTTGTCTGGAGATGGCGCGTCGAATTCGGGGGCCTTTGGGGACGATACCCCGGATGGAGGTGATCCTCGGATGCATCGGTGAGCCCCGTTGACTTTGATATAGGTAACTGTTTCAGATAGTGTAAGGTTGGCTTCCGGCGTCTACTCTTCCGGAGTGGGAATCACGAACTCGGGCGCACGCCTTCTGTCTGGCGTTGGTGCTTTGGAGCTCATCGGGACCTCTTTTCTTGGGGAAGGCGGATATTGGACTTCGGGCGAGTTATCCCCTCCGGCATTGGCCGCTGACGTTGCTCCCCGAAACCTTCTGTCACTTGTTCGGGGGGATAAGGAGATGTCCTGCAGGGGTGTATCTCGTGCTTTCCTTCTTGTGCCTGAAGCTTCTTTTTATAGGCTTGCGATGGCCTTAGATCCGGGCTGGTTCTTATTAGGACTAGAGCCTTGGATAATTTTGAGCCTGATCTGCAAAAATTCTTAAGGGCGATGCCGTTTCTGCTGGAATTACTTGTGGGAAGGTAAGAGCTCCAGTGTAGGTTCAAGCTTTTGAGGGGATGAGTGTTTCGGCTAGGATCCCTGCCTTCGAGGTTCAACTCAACTCGACCTGCGAGGATGCCACAGTTCAGGTGGATATGATTGAGAGACTTGAGGCTGAACTCTCGAGGGTCAGGGACGAGATGCCCGGGCGAAAGCGGCATCAAGCCGAACCAGGGTTGATCGCGAGATGGAGACTTGCATAAAGGAAGTTGCTGATATTCAATCCGAGTTGAGGAGAGCCCTTGATCGCGAAGAGAGGATAGAAGAATATGTTCGCTGCCGAACCTGGAGAGGGGTATTCGAGGAAGCTGGAGCAGGGAGCCTTGATTTTTCACGGGAGTTGGCCTGAGCCAAGGTGGATGAAGGTGATGCTCGGCCACTCCTTGTGGACACTGCAGAGGGCGATCTTGACGAAATGCAGCCCTTTTGGCGAAAAATAGAGGTTCCGTCGTTTTGTAACCTTGTTTCTGACGCGCGGGGCGTGCCTGTAGGTGGAGAATGTTTTTGCATGTAATATAAGAAGAATTTTAAGGCTTTTGTTCCTTTTGTACCTTTTTTCTATCACTGCTCTCGATCGTATAGATCGGTTTTGGAACTAGTCTCTGAGCTGCATCATGGCACGAACTTTGATTAGTCCTCCGGCTCCTGTCTGCCTTTACGGGCGGAGGGTGGTGACCCTTTGTGCTCCTCGACCGAAGCGATTTTGCGGATGCGCGGCCCAGGGATTTGTCTTGACTACCGATGGTGTGTTGATAGCGTCGCTTGAGTCGTCTCTTCGGGCGTATTCGCTGTTGAATTATTCTCGGGTTCCATCTTCGGGTATCTCGAGATACATCAGGCGGAATGGATAAGCCAAAATAGCCTTCGACTGGGTGGCCCAATGGTTGTAGGGTAACTATTTTGTGGACTTTGCGGAGGAGTATCCCGATCAGGTTAGTGCATGGGGCTCCTTTTCCTGGAGGAATTGACCCGAGCCAGGAGGACAATCGCAGAGCTTGGTTGTCATTCGCTGAGGCTGTAGAAGGCAAACTTCGACAAGCTATACTCCTTTCGGTGCGGGACATAGACTTGACCGTTTTGTTTTCGATATGGTCGTGGGGTGCCTGCTGATGGAGAGGGCGCCTTTCGTGCATGACAGATATAATACACGAGAAAGGGTTTTAGAGTTTTGTTTCTTTTGATACCTTTATTGTTTTTGACCAGGTGGAGCAAAAGATAGTGGCTTACTCTGTTTGTCGGGGCCGAGCTGGAGAGATTCCTTGATCTTGTAGGCAGTAGCGGGGAACATGCGGATAGGGGGGCTATCGCAGAGATTCGCGCTAGAGGTTTCGATCTCTCAGAGGAGATCGGATACATCAAGAGAGCAGAGTTTGATGCAAAGCTTCTAATACCTGATGATGAGAGGCCGATGGGCCGTAGCGCAGGCCGAGATTGCGCCCTGTTATCGTCATGCGATAATAAGGATGGGGGGAACCCCGTATCTTGCAATTTCTGCGTTTCTAATTGCTGGAGGTTTTTCACCGGACCGATTCAATCCCCGAGTAGCCTTTAGGCTTGTATCTTTCGATTACCTTCAGGTTAAGTCTTTGAGTCGTGTTGCGGCTCGAGCTCTGATTGGCTTTCTAGCCTTTTCTTCCCTGCATGGGCGGAGGGTCTTTGTGCTCCTCGAC